AAAAGGCAAAGACTATTTCTTACCTTTATTCCTTTGACTCAACTCTTCGACACAAACAGTGCAAACTTTGTGCGGAGCCCATGATTTGTCTTGGTCCCCAAGTTTTATTCCAAAATATGCGTAATACGCATTTTTTGACAAATTCTGTAAGGTTTTGTTTTGTTTCTTTACAACAACCACAAATATAACAGAATATGTTTGGGTCATTTACACAACCTCTTGTTGCCATAGCGACAAATAGATTATATTGAAAAGAAAAAAATAGTGTCAAAGTGCACGCACAAACAAATGACACGTCATGCGGCCTGTTAACCGTCTATATACTAGCCGTGTGTTTCTCGTGGGTTCTAGAACGAGCGATAAGACTCTCACGTCGCGATTGGTCTAGTGATTATCAATATTTTAAGCATAACAAAATGTGACCCGATTTCAATTAAAATGATTCATTTATGTAAAAGTTTTGTGAAAATCTGTACACAATGGAGAAAAATTCATATCATTTTCAGTTTCAGTGTAAAGTATTTACTGTAAAATAAGTAAAAATTTCAAGACAATAAAATCATCGCAGGCCTATGTTATCAGTTTTACCACTTCCAAAAATCAACAGTAAAACGAACCATTCTAATAAAGTAAAGTCAAATAAATTGTGTCGAACAGTTTGAAAATATTTCAAAAACGTTGGGTCTATTCATATCAGTAAGGATACAGGATTACAGAAATCCATTAGGCGTCACAGCTCTTTTACTTTAAAGTTATTTATAATGTTTTATCGGTTTAGAAGAGTGTACATTAAAGTAAAACCATGAAGTAAAGATCGACCTTAGTTACGATTCCACAAGTTAACAGTTTAGCACGATTACTACTGGAAAGTCCAGGACTTTGGACTTTGGTACAAGGTTCACATCACATAGTATTTTCGTTTATTTTATATCCACATTCACTGTTTGTGCGAAAGATTCACCACTTTCTAGGACCATTGACTAGTCATCAAGAAGAGTTCGAACAAGAGAAGAAATGTTTCTTAACTCCTTCTCAAAAATCAGGGCAAAAAATGATACAATATTTTAATTGCAGTACAGTAGAATCTTATATTTTTGTGCTGAGAGACAAGACAAACTCTCTTACTTTTCTGGTGTGCTCTTCTCGTTAATTCTCCGCCTTATGGGCAATTGTTCAGTTTCTAATCATGACTTGGAAACCTGTATACTAATATAGACATTTGTGAAGCTCTTCTAGGACTGTAGATTATTTTGGTCTTGCCAAATCAACACTATCTCGATGTCACATTAGGACTGTATATTATTTTGGTCTTGCCAATTCAACACTATCTCGATGTCACATTAGGACTGTAGATTATTTTGGTCTTGCCAAATCAACACTATCTCGATGTCACATTAGGACTGTAGATTATTTTGGTCTTG